AACTAAAAATATCTTTAAGATTTTTTTCTCTGACCCAAATAAAATTTTTGATATCTACAAAAAATTATCATTTCCCACTTTATCTTAAAGTATTAATTCCCTAGTTTATTTCTGAAATTTACCTTACTATTTTGGGTTTGATGAAGGCTCCAAGTCCTTACTGATTTGAAGATCTTTACACACTGTCTTCTTTGACTGACAGAATAGAGTGCAATACAATACTAAAGGGACTGACACTGAAGATAATAGGAAAATAGGTTGGCCTGGTTTACTCTGAAGTAAAGATTGTCAACAAATACAAAAACTTATAATTGAATCAACTAGGAACACTATTACTAAATAATTCTAAATGTCAAAAATCTTGCTTTTGCTTATTCCTACATACACAGATTCAGGTTAGGGCTAATATGTTAATAAATAAATAAAATCAAGAAGTTATTTTTTTCTCAAGATAGTAATAGAAAATACCATGAAATGGAACTACTGAAAACTCACATAAAAATACTGAGAATTAATTAAAATTTTAAATAAATTCATTTATAAATCATAACGTAAATGAATATATATATATATAAAATAACATGCTACTGCATGCCAATGAGAGTGAACTGATTAAGGAGTTGCATCAACTAAAATTGTATTTAGCACTTATCACTACTCAAGAGCATTCAAGAGCCTTGAAATTTTATTTGAAACTTGATGTGCATACATGAGATATGTATTATTACTATTAATCACATATACACATAGCCATATATTGTTATATGACAGAGAATCATGGTGTTAGGTAAGTTTGTTGGGCATAAATCACAGGGCATATGTACATAAGCCTAGGTGGTATAGTCTTTTAGCTTATTATGCTAGTTGTTGAATAGTCTATTGCTCCTAGGTCCAAGAACAAAACAACATGAGACTGAATCAAGCACAAGTGAAAATGATACAATCAACACTCAATGACAAAATATAATAGACTTGTCAGTGTAACATGGCATAATATTTTACACTAAAGTAGGTAGACATTTTTGTACATATATAATATATATTTATGTGTGTATACATTTGAAAATAGACTGCACTCTAAAATAGTGATAAATCTATAGTATTTAAATATATAAACCAGTTACATTGTCATCTTTATATTATTTTGTGGCTTTTTTTTATATGACGGGCAGCATGTTAGGTTTGTTTATACAACACCAAAATCATCCCAAAGAAGTGGCTAATGACTTTTGCTATGGCTACACTGTTAGCAAGTGATAAGAATCATTCAGATCCATTATAAACTTATGGGGCCATTGTTATGTAATAATTTAACAGTGACTGAAATGTTATGAGGCACATAACTCTATACATAATATATAATATTACACAATGATCCGGAAGGTAATAAAAGAAAAAATTGGAGATTTGTAAAAGGAAATATATGCTCCCTTTTCTTATTCTTAGGATTAACATTTGAGTCAAATTTTCATGAACAAGTAGAATTTGTGTTGGTGAAAAAATGTTGGAAAGGGAAATTTAGGCAAAAGCAAAATCTTAATGTTAAGATCAAAGTTGGTTCTTCAGAGGAAGAAATTTGACTAGAGAAATAATTTGGGTAGATGAAGGGCATGCATTATATATGTTACATTACATGATTTAGTCTAAAATGATTTATATTATGTCTTTTAGACTGTATAGAATCACAAATGTGGAGTGAATGAATTTTATGCTATTTTTCTGCTAAGACAGTATACATGCCTGAATGACAATGTGATATGAATATGAAAGAAAGGATTGTGTTTCAGATGACTGATTACACTGCATTAATTTCAAGGTCACTTTCCTCCTTTGGATTCTATGATTGAAATTTACTTATGTAAATGACATATGAAACTGAATAAGATGTTTTAAATCTTATTGTCATTATTCAAAACAAAACATTTGTTTGATAATATTCATAAATACTGAATTTTCACTTCTGACTTTAAATATCCTGAGCCCTTCAAACAATATTCCAAACATGTGATCAATTTTTTTGTATGTATTGTCATTTTTTCAATCTTTCATTGTATGTATTGTCATTCACAGGTTGGATGCCTATGGCTGGTGAGTTACTATGCTTATATTTAGCTGGTAGTCTAGTCAATATATACTCAAAGAGAGAAGGTGAGCAAAGAGTTTAAATTGGTCATTAGTCAAATCATTAGCTTAAACTACTAAGCAAACCCAGTTTTAGAGCATACTGTTTAGGTTCCTGATAGTATTGACCAGAAACGATGAATAGAAGGAAAGGATAGGAGCTTTAGAAGCACAAATCCATGTTGAACCATTTAGAGATGTAATCCCCAGTGAACTGTTAAAATGTTTGATCAAAATAATAAAATGCCCAATTGCATTTATATCTCAATAATGATGCATCTATCCAATAAAACAAACCATCATTTTATGAGTCATATTTATTTCAATGATGAAGTTTGAAAAATCTCCATCAGTCTCTAATTTCTGTGCTTTATTGCTAAATGTGTACAATTCCTACAAAGTGTAATGCCATTTTGCTTTTTTAATATATTGCTATAATTGTATGCATGAATAAGCAAAAATTATCAAACTTTAGTTAAGATAGTCCCTTAAAAGTGACTCAGAGGCCTTGTTAAGGAGATTGGTACACAGTCTATTTTCATGTATGCTGTACTGTATTTGTCTGTTTATTTAATTTTATTTTCAGATTTGCTCAAAGCCAGTGATAACTATGTCTACTTTCCAAAGCCAATTTATTTTATTTACTGCATAGTGGCTTATTTTCTGTTGTTATGACCATGTAGTTGAGACTGTATAACTTATTAAGAAAAGAGAATTAGTTTGGTTCATGATTCCAAAAGCTGGCACATACAATACTGAGCAAATTCATCTCATAATTTTTTAAAAATAAAGGCATATTTTGGCTCAAGGTTGTTTAAACTGTGAAGTCCAAAGGTACAGCCTTGGCATCTGGCAAGGGTGTCATAACATATGAGAAGATGGAAGACAAGTGAGCACACACAGAAAAGACAAAACATGAGAGGTGACCTGACTATAAAACAATCTACTTCCATGTTACAATACTTATTCCCATGCAAAAGGAATTACCTTAAAGAAACCTAATTACCTATCAAATTCTCAATCTCCCAACACTATCAAAATGCCAGCAAAAATTTAATACAAGTTTCCGGGAGACAGTTTCAAGCCATAGTATACTCTTTTCTTATTCCTCATAGCTACTTATACTATCAAATGCCATTGTTTACAGTTGCTTCTACATAACACTGACAGTCATTTGAAAGTTTACCGTACCAGTAAGTCCTGTATGATTATAAACAACTATTCTGACTTTGTATACATTCTGTATAAAATAACAATCTCTTAGTTGTATCCTTATTTGGTCTGTGGATAACTGAGAGAAAAAGATAGTCATAAATAAAAACAGGAAAAAGTCACCTATTAAGAAAAATGTAAAAGCCTAATTTTTTCCTTAACATGTAGTTAATTTTAGAAAACACTCTGAGAAATGACCATTATATAAACATAGTTCTTAAAAGAAAACCTTTCAAATATCCAATTTTGAAAATCAACACATCCTACCTTATGATATTAAACATACAGTAAAATTTCTAAAATTTAATTGTTCTTATTCAAATTAATAAAACATCCTTATTATGCTGATTATTGTTTTTGGTGTTATGTATAGCAAATTGACTACCCCTTATCTTTCTCTTCCTTTGGTTAGTAAATATCTTATTTAATAATCTTTTAAAATTCTGGTTCTGTCACTTGAGAAGTTTCATATCAACAAAAATTTAACTCATGCACAATAGATAGCACGTATTTCCCTTTGTAAGAATATGCCATGTTTAAAAATGTTTATTTCTCTCTATATCTTTTATATTCCAGCAGTCTCCAATTACATGACCTTAAGAAGCCAGGTAGAAAGCAATGTAATGACATGCAAAGTAGTTTACATGATATATCTTTATTAACCATGTCCACCATAGACTTACATAGATATTAATACTCTAGTTAAAGTGCAGTACTAAATCCTACATCTATTTGACAAGAATTTCTATTTTTATTTCATTATCAACCTATTCCACATGTGAGCAATCCTGAATTTCATTTTATACTCATAGATTGTCAGTACAATTTATTCTACTGTCTCTTCCAAAATTAAAATGTTAATTTTCCTAAAAGGCAGATAGAGTTGCATAGTGCAACTCCTTTCTTTTTTCTTTTATTGAGTTTATTGGTGCATTTTAAGTATACAGTACAGTTACATTCATTATTGGGATCTTGTACCTTTACATGGCAGGTCTTGGTTCTCATTTTTTCCCCCTTGTCCCTCCCCTACTTTCACCTCCTCCTCCCCTCCCCATTTACAAACACTTTATTTCCATTTTTTCATTTTCTCCTATTTTTTCTTGCCCTTAATACTTTTCCCCTACCCTTCCCACTTTCCCTGCACCTTTAGCCCCTTTCTTCCTATTTCACATTGTCTATTATTTCATTCGGATCTTCTGTACTATTATAGTTTTTCATATAAGAAAAACTATTCGGTATTTACACATGTGTGACTTATTTATTTCACTTAGGAGTATATCCTCATTATGTATCCATTTTCCTATGAATTACTTTTTAAAAATAAATCTAGAATCTTAATTCTGAATCTGTGAAATATTGAAAAATGAGTACAAATTACTTTGTATCAGTTTCCAAAGTGATTTTCTCACTTAATTTAACCATTTTAATGCAGAATAAATATTATTTTTGTACAGTATCGCATAATATGCAGATTATACACAAGATGCATATTTATACAGTTGTGATAAATTTCTTTAAAATTAGTTTTGATTCTTTTTTCTTTTTTACAAAATATGCTTATTTAGGTCCAATTTTATGAAGGACTGCTATAAGTCTCTTCCATATCAAGCAAGTAAAGAACAGTACAAAACTATTGATCCTTTAAGTAGTAAGGGATTTACCATCACCTGAGAAGAGAAATCTTTGTCTTTGGCTAAACTTTAAACCGCTGAAATGTTCCAAGAGATTTGAGTAAATCTTGTTATTCTTTTTCAGTGCCTGGAATTATTTATACTAAAAAATATATGCCTGTTGTTATCACACAGCGGTGGTGGGGTTGATCGAACATAGAGCTCAACCAAGTGAGTAATCAGTTAGACCAAGGCAGTGAAACCTCAGAAAAATTGAATTTCAAGTGAACTTGCTGGGTAGCATAACTCTGTTCCTTATCACCTGGTGTATTTGAAGTTATGACAGATTCTGTTTTGTCACAAAGACAGGATGACAGAAAGCTCCCTGTGTGGACTCCTCCCAGATTTTGTTCATTTATTTCTACTTTTGTTTGGTTTTAATTTGTATCTTTCCTATGAAGTAAACATGACTGTAAGAATAATAGTTTTCAGTTAGTTCTGTCAGGCTTTCCAAGCAGTTGCCAAATTTAAAGGTGTTTTTAGGAAAACAACAAACTTCTCATGGGTATTAGAAATCTTGGGCAGATTTGGCTAGAGGACACTCTGGGTGCACAAGAAATTGAACAGTTGCAGGGAAGTTCTTTTAATTTAAGATACATGACCAAAGACTGAATCAATGAAGTGTGAGGTTTTCCATTTGTATGTAACAAATTGGTTTGCACTGGATTGCAATAAATTGAGTATCTTCAATTGATTGATTTTTTAAAATAATACGTGTGGCTTTCCTTTATTGAAAATATTTTTGCATGTTAAAAATTCCAGTTTTTAGCCTCACCAGCCTCGCCAGCCCTGCCAGCACAATGACCCGAGTTCAATCCCCAGTACCCCATAAAAATAATTCCAGTCTTAAAAATCTAATATGCCTAAAATATACCAATAAACTCAATGAGAAAAAAATCTAATTTGCAATATATCTGTTTCAAAATCCTGTGGATGACAGTTTTGGTTATGAAAATTTTGTTTTAAGTCTTATTTTGTAGTGAATGCCTTTTCAGGTTACATTTATATTTGATCCACCAGTTTATTATTTATTATTATGACTCACTGACACACCTAGTCTTATGAGAGTGCTTAACTTACTCTAGATTGTAAGAGTTACAGTGTTGGCAAACAAATGCTAATGGTATCAAAACAATTGTGTTTACTTAAAAAATGTGACATGTTAATAGGCAAACATAAAAAATAAAAAGTTAAATTAAATAAGATAATTCATAGATGCGAATTCACATTACAAAAATCTTAGAAAAACATCAGACCTTACCCTGAAGCAAGTGTACTGTAAAAGCTCCATGGAAAAATAGCACAGTAAGCTCTGCTCTATTGGTCATCATTTTAAGAGATTTAAGAGACAGTTTTGAAACACCAGAAAACAAGAAAATCTTTCATTCTCTTTTATTTCACTTGTGGACTTAAATCTTTCATACCTTTCCAACAGGTAAAACAGATTTTTTTTTTCTTTTTTCTGGCACAACTCGGGTTGAATTGAACCCAGGGCCTTGCAAATGTTAGGCAAGCACTCTCTCATTAAGGTATATCCCCAGTCCTTCAGAAATTAAATTTACTTTTTAAAAGCATTTTGAGAAAAAATTTTGCTAGATTGTCCAGGTTTTCAATTTGTAATCTTCCTGACTCAGCCTTTCAAGTAGCTGAGATTACATTCCTGCAACGCTACAACTGACCTCTTTCTGATTTTTGAATAATCAAATTTTCCATTCTCCTAATGGCTTTCTCTGTTTGGATAATGATCTTCAGATCTTTGTAGTGAGAAAGAGACAATTGCTTAGAAGAGAAACATTCCAGAAGTGAGACACAGTATTTGATCCAGAGTCAAGATGAAGTCTGAATGTTTTCTTTCCCACTTTAATGATGCTAACCTTTAGTTACAATTGTGAAAAGGAGACTTGTTTTTCAGTATCACAAAACCTAAAAGTCTGGAGAGAGGATTAAGTGATGTAGCAAGAAAATCATTTGTAGCCTCTGGCTTCTAGCCAAAGGGTAGACTGACATTAAATTAACAATAATGTATAGGTTTTGATTTCTAAATTTTAAAAAAGTGAACACTTAACATATTTTTAAGCACAAGTCCTGTTCTAAGGTCATGAGAAATTACTAGAAGGCAAATTAAATCACCTTTTTAATATGTCGGATAACACATGTTTTTTTGCAGATAAATTAAGCAAAGATCAGTCCTACAGCAATATCCTGATGGCTTTCTATTAATTAAAATTAATACTTAAAAAATCTTGCCAGACATGGCAGGAACAAGAGCAGATGGAATTAAGATGATACAAATACTTCAGCCTAAGCTTTGGGATATATTAGCCAATAATCAAACATTTTTGAAAAATTGAAATATGTTCTGGTAAGGAATGTGGAAGGATTCCAATGTGTGGAGAACAATTAAGATTTTTTAAAGAAAAACATATTATAAGAAAATTATTATGGTGCTCTTTCTGGCACACTTAATTATAAAAAATATGTTTCTGTACACGCTTATAGAACACATTATTTTTAAATAGAGTAGAAAATAATGGAAAATTAAAAAATAGAAAATAAAATAATATTTTAAGCAACAGTCCTCTCATTAAAAAGTTTATTGAATATTCTGATAGCCAGAACATAATTTCCCTAAATTTTATGATGAGATAATTTAACATTTAAAAATCATCACTAAAAGGGAGTTTGTATTTATTTTTGCTATTAGCAAAATAGCTATTTCTACATCTACATACATGTACAGGTATATGCCAGTTTTCTCTTAAGAAATGAAAGTGGCATAATTTTAAGTAACAACTTGTTTATTTAAAAATTATTTTCTGGTTACTTTAATATTTTGCTTCTTTGTTAGTTTGTAAGCTGGTGGGATGTCATAAATTATTTCTTGTTTTCCTTTCCAAACAGATAATATAGCTATTTCCCAGTTCACAAAGATTATTATAACAACATATAACATAGCATCTTTATTCTGTGAGATCTTATAGCACTGTAACATGATAAATGAACATTCCTGTAAATATTAGCAACAGATTACCTCTTCTCGGGATGGAATATAAAATATATAAAAATATTGTATTTAGTATTTTTGAAGATTTTTAAAAGGTCATTTAGTTTTTTAGTAGACCAGGTTAAATTAAAGTAGCATTCCATATTATATGTTGTCTCAACAACCACAATAATCTTACTTGTTAAACACATTACTTGAGGAAACAAACCTACTTTTAGTTGTTATGATATTTGAAAAGCAGCCTTGAGAACAGATTTGAACACAGGAAGCCAAAGTAGTGGGAAGTTGTTTTGTCTAAATTCTCAAAATGTTTGCAAAATGGTACTAACAATTTCTTTGGGGGAAAGCTTATAGTTCAGAGAAAATCAATCATTTCATAGAGAAAACAATTTTCCTTTCTGGTAAATTTGGGAATATATAAAATTTAATCTTTAAATCTCTTCTAAAACTCTCTGTTTCACCTAGTGGAATATGGATTTATGTTTAAAAATGATTTTAGACTACTCACTTTTATCCCCATTATTTCTAATATTCTTGTGTCATTTTTCCTAGAAACACTGTCACTAGAACTGTTTTATCTAAGCAGCATTTTAGACCGTATCTATATTTTCAGATATTTTTATGATAATCAGTTAGTATAATAAAGTGTAATTTTTCTTATCATTCTTCAATCATAATTGACACTATCTTTATTTCCATCTTCACCAAACATAAGATCAGTATTTATTTTATAAAGCTGATTCTTTAAAAGTCTAAAGAAATGACTAGAATTAAAAGCACTCAAAATATCAAGAAATTTATAATCTTTTCTTAAAAATTAAGAGGAACTAATACTTAATAGTATATCTTGAAATAATAGAGGACATTTAGTATGATTAGAGTTCCAGTGAGCAGAATATGGGTTCTGAGATACTGTTCCTTAAAAAATAAGAGATTTGCAAAGTTTCTCCCACATTTTCCACAAACTGCTTTAAGCTAGTAACCAGTAGGCAAGATCTGCATATTTTACGCTGGAAAAAGTTTAATGTTTATTTTAAATAATGAATTATTCCAGCATAGAGGGGAAAGAAACATACACAAAATGTAAATGAATCTTAAAGCCCTCATTACAACTAGAATACTGCCATAAAATTCTTATTAATGACTTCATGTTTATAAATTCCCTTAAAATTAAATTTTCTTTCCATATGAGGTCAGACAAAATAATGACTGTATAAGAGAGAACCTTCACTACTTTTAGGCTTCCTGGCATTAGTTTTCCTTTACATTAGTATTATTTTTTTTATTTTTTTGAAGAGAATTGATCCTCTTTCACTGAGCATAGTCTTGCAAAAAGGGTATTATTTATGTTCACGATTGTCATTTCTTCCTCTTGAATTGTTCCCTTTACAAGGATATAGTGGCCTTCCATTTCTTTCCTATTTTGAGCATTGATGGTTTCCATTTCTTTCTTATGTTGAGCCTTCATGGCTTCTATCCAGGTCCGGAGACCCAATTCAAAAATGGGCATCTGAAATGAACAGACATTTCTCAGACAAAGAAGTAAAAACAGCAAGTAGATATATGAAGAAATGTTCCACATTACTGGTCATTTGAGAGATGCAGATGAAAACAACACTGAGATTCCACCTCACCCCACAAAGAATGGCTGCTATCAAGAAATCCTCCAATAATAAATGTTGGCAGGGTTGTGGGGAGAAAGGAATCCTTGTCTCTTGATGATGGCAGGGCAGACTGGTGCAACCACTATGGAAATCAATATGGAGAACTAGGATTAGAGGTTCCATTTGACCTAGGAATCTCTTATCTTTCCAAAAGAATTAAAAGAATAGTATCACGATGATATATGCATACCCATGTTTACACAGCACAATTTGTAATAGCTAAAACTTGGAAACAGCCCATTTGCCCTTCAGTTGGAGACTGGATAAAATGGTATTTCTATAAAACGGAATACTACTCAGCCATAAAGAATGAGAAATTAGAGTCATTCATAGGAAAATGGATGCATATTGAGGATATAGTCATAAGTGAAATAAATAAGTCACACATGTGTAAATACTGAATAGTTTCTGTGGTGTGAAAAAACTATAATCATACATAAGATCCTAATGGTATAATTGTCAATGTGAAATGGGAAGAAAAGAGCTAAAAGTGAAGGTGAAGTAGGAAGGGTAGGGGAAAGGAAATAAGGGAAAAGAAAAAAATATAAGAAAACGGAAAAAATGGAAATAAAGCATTTGTAAATAGGGAAGGGAGGAGCGGGTGAAGGGA